GGTGGGGCCACAACATTAGTAACAAAGAAACAGAATTTCTAGAGGATGAGGCCCAGAAATCAGGATTTTAAAAACATTCTCAGGTGATTCTAATGTGCAGCCAAGGTTGAGAACCACTGGTCTAGACCTTTGTACTTGCTGTTCCATGCACTTCACACACTCACCCTCCTGTCTATTCTGTTCCACCTGCCTGCTTCTCATTCTTCAGCTCTCAGCTTCGCCGTGCTTCCTCCAGTAGGAAAAGTCTGCTCTCAGCAAGTTGGAAATAGGTGCCTCTGCCTTGGGCTCCATGGGATTCTGCATCCCCCTGTCACCATCTTGTAACTGAGTTTCCTCCTGATCCCCATTACAACCTGTACTCCATGGGGGCTGGGATCCTGGCTGTCTTTCAGCACTGTTCAAAAAATACCTTAAAGGCATGTCAAAAGGGAGAGTCCTAAAACTCCTGGTTCAGGGCACTGAAAGGGTGACGGGAGAGGGTCGGCTTAGCCTTTCACGCCCTGCACACGCAGCCTTCCTTCTCACAGGAAGCTCTTTCCTCTGGATGATGAGAGGCTGCAAGGCAGAATTTCCCTCCCAACTCCCGATTAGTGGCTGTGCCTGTGATCAAGTTTGCATTACTGCGTGTCCTCCAAATTGGTACTCTATCAGAAGCTCCAGCTAAGCATAGTGTTTTCCAATTTTAAGTAATAATGCCCTTGGACTCCATAATGAAGCTACCAACATTTCAAGTACTATCACCTATAAATGCAAAAACAAAGTGAAGAGTTCATGCCACTGAATTATAATCAGATGATTTATGATAGAGTGAATGAATCATCACTAGGAAGTAAAGGATTAAAAATAATAAAAGCAATGTTGATCTGGAAAATGCTACCCAGGAATAAACTTTTTTTTTTATTAGCAAGTGGAATAAATTATCGTATTTCAATATGCTTCTTTCCTGGGTGTAGTGCTAATTGTACTGCTGTTGTTTATTGGAGCATGTGCCTGAGCAAGCCAGGACAAAATCAGAGCACACTTAGCAGGCAATAGAAACCTACGGCTGAATTAGAAAAGATGGTAAGACACTTAATAAAAGCTCCAATGGTAGAAGAAACACACACAAAAAATTTGATGCTTGCTATCCAGTAATGGAAAGTTAATCTAGAAAAAGCAAATGGTTTTCTAACATTTTAGACACAATTAATTATATTTATTATAACAGGAGCCCCATGGACAAAGGTTCTCAAAGGCATACATTCACAAGGCAGGGAATTCTAGAGATTAAATTTTTAGAGATATTAAAACCAACTTACTTATTCTACAATCTAGAGTTTTCTTTCATCTGTTTTTACCAGAGTGGAAAAACAGACCGTGTCACCTGCAGTATGAGGTGACGTTTTCCTGGGTATAAAAGAGATGGAAGAACTATGGACATGCCCCAAAGTCCATAATGAATTCCTCTGACCTACAGAGAGGGGGACTAACTATATTCTTTTCATTTCAAAATCAATCCCAGAAAAAGAGCCCATCATCTGCAAAATCTATCCTCTACGTCTCAGCTGTCAACTGTGTGGAAGCTGTTTCTCAGCTCTGCAGGATAATGACTCAGGGAGTTTTGTGTAAAGAATGGATGTGGCTGAGACATTTGATGCTCACTGAATATCCATGTCTTCCCTCCCCCCTTCCCAGCCCCCTTACAAGTGGGTAGGCTCATGTGACTAGAAGTGACCACAGAACCAAGGGGAAGTAAAGTGTGGCTTCCAGGCCAAGTCAGTAAACAGCCCCTAGGCCTTGGCTTACAGTCTCTCATCCCATGCGGTGGTGACCTGGACATAGCAGGTAAGATGCTGAGTCATGGTATGGAAGCAGATGAGATCCCTGAGGACCAGAGGGATGAAGCAAATGGTTTTCTTCAGCCCGTGGGCCCGTTCAGTGTAGACTTCAGGTTTCTAGTTATCTGAGGCATGGCAGAAGGTCCCATCACCCCAACATGTTAACTCCACAAACCACTGATCACTAATCAGCCTGCCTTGTTTCACCGGTCACTTTTTTAAAAATTTGTCTTTATTGTTGAAAGTATTAGAGATGTCCCCTTTGTCTGTTTGTGT